TTTGAACAGCATATATAGTTGTAGACATTAGCTGTAAATAATTCTGTCAAATAGACCAACAGTCAAGTATCATCATACACTTTATCAAACCTTTCCCAAACCAAGTTGAAGAGACGGGTTCAAGTCCCCCTACACCCAGCTCTCCAATTTAATATCAATGAAGCTCTCAGTATTTGTCTGTGCATTCATGGTGACTCTTGGAACCACTCCCTTTGTCCATGCTGCCAAGGCAGAATGTCCCTGGTGCTCCTTTGTATCTGGGGAGCAATATGCAGAAACACATAATGAAATTTGCGGCCACACCTTGGAGGATGGTTCAATATGTCAGGCACACTGTACAAAAAGACACTATCAGTGTTCAAGGATACTATGTCACAAATACTTCCGCTCAAACAAAATAATCCCAGGAGGACCATGCACACACCTCAATAAGGAGAAAGTGTTCCACTTATTCATTTGATGATATGTTCTCAGCAACAAAAAAAGCTGACAATTATCATAGATCAAATGGATATCCAACAATGATTTTTGTGTTTTTGATTAGCAGATTCCAAAATTAGAGTTGATCCTGTGAGGTGGCATCTGGTCAATCAGTTGGCATAACAAACTTCAATTTTCAAAAAATGGATTGGCAAAAAACAATTTGATCATAGTATTTGAGGTAAGAGACTCAGATCAAACATCTTGAATAGCTGAAGAAGATTTATCCTACATCTCAAACTTGAAAGGCTTTGAACCAATCAGCATACTGGGATTGTGTATTAAGCATGCCAATTTGTTTTCATAGTATCTATAAATATCCAATATAGAGTAGCACAACTTGTAGATATTAGTGGCCCTTTTGGGAAATCATTTCCTCAAGAGATTTGTACAGATGTCAATTTGAGCAAATTAGAATTTTTAATGGTGCAAGAGAACTATCTGCAAGACTAAGAGCAGCTTTGTGTACGAGGATCAAGCACTCTCTAAAGAGGGATATCTAGATAGGTGCCCTGATAAACATGTGCTGAATGAATGATGGTGAATTCCTAAGGATTCAGGAGACATTTATGTATCAACAACTGATTACTGTGATGTTATGTAGGATTTACATCAGGAGACAGATAATGGAGGACTTCCCGTCGGATCTGGGAGCCTCGCAGTTTCCGATTTAGACCCAAAAAGTCTAGATTTTTGCAGGGAAATCTAGCTTTTTTGGCTCTAAATCGAAACTGGGAGCCCCGCAGAAGTTGACGGGAAGTCATCCAATGAATAGTCACAAGAGAGCAAAAGGGAAATGAGATGCAGAAAGATATGAAATTCTAACACAAGTCCACCGTGACCTTGGCCACAGACTCCAGAGGTACTTGGTTTGAACAAACATACATAAACAACTTTGCTTTCCATAGAAGTAAAAATATCTGCTTCATATCTCAAGTAGCATTACAAAAGAAAAAGAAAACAACACAAGCCAAAACAGTGCAAAAAAGGACACACCTTGATAATGCGATGGAAGAGGATTGCGCCAATTGATTCATGACCATTGCAACATCAACTCATGACTACCGTAATTTTACGGGTCTTTGCATAGGCCAGCCTAAGGAGGAGGAGGAGAGTATAACTGAGATTAAACCCAGCCTAGGTCTTCGGAGCCCGTCGAGGCTTGAGACAGGAAACCTGGAGAGATTTGCCTCTGTGCGGGTTGCTCTCCGGGGCACATGAAATGGATGCTCGGACGTCGGTAAGGAACGACAATCGATTGTAAATTGCAATGGCTTAAGATACGCATATTGTTGATTAACACATGTAGATAGTTCCTCCCCAATTGGCTCAAGGCATTCTAGCAAAGATTCAAACATGTCATGTAGGTGAAGAGTAGTCAGACGTCACGTGGTCGAAGGACAGGTGGCACGTTCGAGTTCATAAAAGCTTGATATTTGGCTGGATCACCTCGGGAGATCGTCTAAGAGGTAGGAGTGTACAAAAATCATGGCATTGCATACTTAAAAGATTATTATCACTCCGCAGGAACAGGAAGGGGCATGGGCGATAAAGTTCGAATGTGATGCTTTGCAGAGATTGTGAGGATGTAGAGATAGCATCAACCAATTTTACGATCGAGGTTTCTCCTACGTACCGAGCAAAAATGTGGGAATCAGAATCAGCACAAAATCGGGGGGGGGGGCGGGTCTCATGTGTGACCTAGATCTGTGGGTCATGGGGCTTACCTTCTTCTCGAGCCAAAGTGCAAGCAATCCCACACCAGATACTTTGACAACTTTGAATCGCACCTAATTGAGAAGCAGAGATCAGGACGTGGATCTTCTTGAAGTGGTAGACGGACAACTGCATGAAAATCACTAACACCAGGAATATCACCCTTAGCTTTACCTGCCCGACCGAAACCAGCAACCAAAACCTCGTCGTTGTCATCCCTACCGGAAAATAGGATGCCAGTTGAAGGAGGTATAACATTAGCAAAGATGGTGCATTTCTAGCTGTTGATCTTCCAGGCTTAATTCGACTGACAAAAAGTTCAGACAACCATCGTTGGGGACGAAAGCAGTGATTTTCTTTCCGTTCTTGATCAACTGAACTCGCACACACTTTCGGATGGCGGAGTTGGGCTGTTTGGCTTCAACACCGACCTAATCACAACCAAGTTAACAAGGCAGAAGTGCAGCGCAGAAATTGATACATTAAAGTAGGGTCAATATGCTGTTTAACGATTGTTGGCCTGATCGAATGATGGGGTGAGAGACGCAATGGTGGCAGGGGTTCTGACCTTTTCAAGTACGATTCCCTTGGCGTGGGAAGAACCTCCGGTAGGAGATGACCGGTAGGCGGTACCCAACGCTCGCTTCTTGTACGACTTGTCGGCCCATCGGTTGTCTCGTCGTTGATTCCTGAGCTTACGGGCAGCGTGAAGACCTCTTGGCTTACAGGCACCCACTAATTTTGATTTCGTTTCATTTAGCGTTTGTTGACCATTTTTCGAGTTGAAGAGAAGTGTTTCGATAGAATAGGAAAAACCGAGACAAAAATAAAAATAGGGTTGATGATCAGTTTCCAATGGTTTGCTTGTCTTTTTTTTTGGGGGATGCGTGTTCTGATTCGAAGCTGAGCTAGATGTCTAGTCCGACGTACTCTTTCGTTCTTATCTTGAGGGTTGATGTACGATCGATCGAATGCGGGTCCTAGGCGTCTTGATGTTCCGGTTGGCTCATCCACCCCCGCCCGCCCAATCGTAACCACCCATCTCGCTGCTGGTGGGACGATTAGGGCTGTGCGGACTGCGCAGTGCCTGTCTCATCATCCGGGGTCCCGCACACCGCCCACCACTGATCCGATCTGCCACCCGGGTCTCGGTCGATTGAGTTCGCAAACCGGGCTGAGGCTCGGGGTTTTGAAAGCACACCCCGACGCATTCACCGAGAAAAGAATCCGGCTTCAAGCAATCGGGATAGCGGTTGACGAATGCTGAGAGACCCCCGTGATATCTCAGCCGATTTTTTGTCAAACCGGTCAGGTGGGTAATCACGGCCGTTCCGATTCATTTTGGCCTTTGCTGATGTTAGGAAGAGTGAAAATCGGAAATCAAAATGGTCAAAAGAGTCAGGCAGACCTGCGTCTCCTTTTGTTTTCCCCCTCGCCCACGTGTCTCGCAATAATCGCATGATACTCTAGGGCTAGTGCCAGCTGTGCCAGCTTGGCCAGCAGGCATATGGCCCAGCTCTTGCGATACATAGCAGCTTGTTCAGAAGGATACATTATTGTCGGTACAAGTTATACCAATTTGGTTGTTCTGGAGATTTTGGAGGGGAAGTCGTCGCGCGACGGGTCTTTGCCTCCCAGCCCCTCCTAGCTTAACACAAGCCCCTCGATCGGAGGAGGGCTTGCTCCGATCGAGGGGCTTGTTTTAAGCTACATAGGAGGCAACGACCCGTCGCGCGACTGGAGGACTTCTTGTCAAGATCTGCGAGTCCCCCAGTTTTGATTTAGAGCCTCAAAAGCTCGATTTCTTTGCAAAAATCTAAACTTTTGGGGTCGGAATCAAAAACTGGGAGGGCCCCGGATCCAATGGGAGGTTGTCCCCTGATGTGTTGGTCAGCTGACCAGCTATGAAGGTATGGATTTGGCACCCTTGATGCCATCTATGCCGTAAACAAAACCTTTTTGGATCATAGTGACCTGAGAGCATCCGCATCAGTGGTCAAGTTACACTGGATTAGCGAGCTCGGATTAGGACAAGATTAAGGTGATCTCGGCCTCCAGCCGCATCGGTGGTGGCTGAGGTGGTTTAAATCTATGTGTTATGTATTTGAGGTCAGTTGATCCGACTTGATCGGAGCTAGTTTGTATTTATGTGTTCCTGCCTTTTGAATATGCATGCAGGACTTATTCCCAGGATTAGTGAGGTCTAGATTTAGACCCCACTAGCTCCAAATGGAGAGCTGAGTCAAGTTGATCCTGTCGTAATCTGGACCGGTGCGGTTGCGAGGCTGGACTAAGTGCCTTAATCCGCGCTAAGTTAACGACTGATGCGGATGCTCTGAGGATGGGTTTATTTGGATCAAAATAAGGACTTCACATCAGGATTTGCAGACTGGACGACTTCCCGTCTGCATTTACGACCCTTGCAGAATTTGATTTACACCATGAACATCTTAATTTTTGGCAAAAAAAAACTTTCTTCAGAAGCCTTTCAGTGAAGGCCCTCTTATGAGCTAGGTGTGGTTATGATTAGAGTGTTAATTTAGACCTGAGAGAGGTCTAAAAAACACTCTAAATTGCGACGGGAAGTCCTCCACTATTCCAACAAATCCACATTAACATTCTTGGAGTGAACCCCTGGGCACTTCAAAATCATGGGAGTGGGTGATATTTCAATCCACAATTGTATGTGCCCAGAATATTATTACATGATTGGAGTGCCAAAGTCTTAATTAAAAAGTGAAAGGCTGAACACTCCAAGAAAAATTCTAGATTTTGGAGCATTAAACACTTCACTACAATTTTCCTTGGAGTGAACCCTAATTCACTCCATTTTTTTTATTATATGTAGCAAACAATTTGAATGCATTTATGCTGAAGGTAAAAAAATGGTTTCCTGCCCAATGGACCTCAAACTAAAGCCACTGATGTGACCAAGCACTACACACTCAAGCAGCAGATGCTGAGTCAGGCCTTGTACATCTTTGATTAATGTGTTGATCCTTCCCTGACTGGTATCTAGGACATTGACTGGAAATAGGTTCTATCCATTCATGTTTACAAAGTATGCATTTATGATGTTGATTAGGAAGCTGATTGGTACATCTCCAACAATTTATATGATCAGGACAGGAGGTCATAGTATTACAAGCTGAATGTGTCCCTGTATAGTTGGGTACTTGGGAGTAAGAGTAACCAGAACAGTTTCTAGGACAGTTAAGTTGTTGGGTGAAAGAAATGCAGCTAATGAGCAGGATTGTTGCCTTGATCTTCAGCCAGGGAATTATGTGAGTGATTGGTACCAGGTGGGGCTTGAACACGTGAGGGGTGGATTTGTGAATGATTTTCACTGTGGTAGTGTTGTAATGTTGCACCAAGTATGTTTGATATAAACTGGACACTCTTTTTGTTCTTTTAAAACTTTACTGAATGCCTTATTTGTGATGTCTTTGGATTTTTCATGACAATCAACATTATAGGTGTTCAAAACTGCATATGTAAAGTTTTACTTAACAGTATAAACTGAAATTTTGGCTGGGGCCTGTCAATTTGGGTTTTAAGTACGCTGACAGGTCCCTGCCTAATCTTGCTTTATGCTGTTATACTTAAAACTCTGTTGGAATGCTTATAGCCAGTAGTATGCTTATATCAAAACTCACTTGTATTTAGTGTATGGCCGGCTCTGATCTTCTGACTCTTCCGCACTGAATCTAAAACTGCTTTTATCTTCGTGCTCAGTCATCTGTCACAAGACTCACGTCTGTGACTCTCAGCTCCCAGCCTGGTCCACCTCAACAGGTTATGAGACCCATCGTCGCTACCGCTCCTATTCGACTTTGGTTATCAATTCTCCTCGATATCGCTCATATTGGCTCAACAACTCGTCTCTTCAATACTAAACGTATTTGCTTGACTCTAACAATGCCGATTCGCCAGATGAACAACCCTTCGGCTTTAATTCAAACGGTGCCAACTCTCGATGGAAACTCGGTCACATTCCCCTCTTGGCGAAATCGACTCCAAAATGTCTTACAAATCCAAGGGGTCCTTGATATTGTCAACAAGACCTTACCTCGTCCGAACAACACCGACTCGAAGGAAGGGAAACTCGCTATTCGCTCTCCGGAGCAACGTGGCTACAATCCCGAAGACTACGGCGCCGATTGGGATGCTTTATCCGACATGGCATGCTCCACAATCCAAATGACTCTATCGTCGGACCTCGCTATTCGATACGAATCGGTAAAACCCGCCAGCAAGCTCTTCTCGACCATTTGTGACGCATACGAAAAGAACACGCGGGCGAGGAGACTACAACTTCAAGATGCTTTTTGGTTGGCTCGTCACGACCCAAACCAGCCTATCGCTAAATGGATCGCTCAGATACGCATGGCAGCTTCCGACCTAGCTAGCGTCAAGTCGACCCCATCCGATCAACAAATCTGCGACAGACTTGTTCGTGGTCTCGACGATTCGTGGAAAACAATTAGGGATCATCTTGTTTATTCCCCCAATGAAGTTTCGCTAGACAATGCAGTTGGAGCAATTGAAGCTCACGAGATCTCAACCACCACTTCGCTGGACCACTCCGATCACCTACAAGCTGCTTCTGCCGTCACCAAGGCTAAAGGACGACCGCGATGCTACACATGCGGTGAAAAGGGACACCACTCAGCCGACTGTCCAAACAAGAAGAAACACATGAAGGCCTCTGCGAGATCGGTTGAAGCTCGTGCAGGCGCAACCACGGTGGCTCAGTTAGGCAACTACGGCTCCAATGAAGAAGACGATGACAGTTTTGACGACGAAATCGACGTCTGGGGATAACGGGACTGAAGGTCGACGTATATTATATTCGTAGTACGCACAACTCCGGTGCACGCTTATGGTTAATTTCTCTTGTCTGCTTGTTTTTGAGTACAGAATTTGTCATGGATTCTCCCTTCTCCCTGCATACTGAGAATCTCTGACCTGGTTAAAATTAATTTTTTCTGTTCCCCTAAGAGATTTTTTTTACTAGAGGCTATAAATAGTAATTTTTTTGCTCTGCTTTTAAACCTAGTTAGTTTTGTTTTCAGCAAGGGGGGATGTTGGAATGCTTATAGCCAGTAGTATGCTTATATCAAAACTCACTTGTATTTAGTGTATGGCCGGCTCTGATCTTCTGACTCTTCCGCACTGAATGCGTAAAACTGCTTTTATCTTCGTGCTCAGTCATCTGTCACAA